AGAAATCAAATATGAACAGCTTCCAGAAAAATAGACTTACTTTTTTCTCCCTGATTATAGTCAAAAGCCTTGTTAATGACAAAGTTCTCATTTGTTTTGTCACGGGGACAGGATTTCACACAGGTGCAATGCACTGGTTTCTTATACGACCACATATGATACACAATTAGAATTTTAAACTATGTAGTCTGTTTAGTAGAAAAAGTAGTAAGTACTGTAAGTGAACACTTCGTGTTATGTTGGCAAATTACCCTGAAGTGATTGTTTGGTTATATTGGTCAGCAGACTTGAATAGGATAGACTGTTGGAAAATGTTCTGACAATTAATTTGAGACCATCTCTCTTGCCTGATGCTAGAATTTTATTTTAAAAATCAGTTTCAAAGTTCTTGGTTCTCCATTAGGTCTCCTATGCTGTTTAACAGATGAGAAAATGGTTCCTATCACATGCTTATCTTTCATGTACCCTATTACCATGGTATTCTGGTCTTTATCATTGTTTTATCAAAAAAAGGTCGTAATTACACGTTAATATGATCCTCACAGTCCATGTGAGTAGCTGTAATGGAAACATAGCCCCGTTCAGTGCATTACCTGCCCTAATTTTCTTGGAAGTAGGTATTGCCGTGTCTGTTATGTTTTGACAATGTATTCTCAGCCCCACAGCTAAGACTTAGACTTTGACTGTTGAATTTGCCTTTGAACTTATGGCTTTTGCAATTCTATGTAACATTCCACTGTTGTTCACTCTACTCATTCTCATCCAGCAGATTTGAACATTTATGGGTTAATATAGTAAATATAGCTTTGTGGTCTTTGAAATGTGGATTTCTTCTTAATATCTGAAGTCTGTCCAGAAATTTGTTTCCATACTGAAATCTGTAGAAATCTGATTTTCCCAGCAGAATAATTCTAAAATTTTCTGTATTCAGTTTTAATGGATTAAGTTTGGAAGTAAATTAAAAAAAACCAAACCACAACTTGCATCAGTGCTGTGATTTATTTTTCATGTTGAAGTAATAAAAGTCTCAGTAAGTATAGTTACATTTGATAATGATTCAGAGTCGGTTAGTAAACTGAAAGCAACTGCTGCCTGCTGAGATGCTGTATGCGCAGTCCACCTCCCAAGAACAGCTGTAGCTCACAGCCATTTTGCATGGAAGCAGCTCAAACTGGTTCACACATCTGTGGGAATCATTATTCCTAAAAATCCCACAGAACGGGGATGATTTGTATGGCTGAGACTCAGATTTTGGGAGCTTTCCATGGAGAGAGCTCTGTGATGCCTCTTAGGGAATTGGGACAGATCAGCCCTTACCAGAACCCCAAGGCACAGGTTCCTCTGCTCTTCCTCTTTAGCAGAAAATCTCTACTCTCTTTTTCCAATTCTTTCTGACTGTCTTTTTTGAAAGGCCTAAGTTTAGCCACAGTTCAGGTAGTCTGCGCTGCAGTTACAGTAGTGTGTACTGAGTTATCAGTAGAAAAATCTGCAGTACACGGAACACTAAAATTTGGGGATGATGCAAAAGCAATTTAATTAATATTAAAACAGAAAACCTGACAAGGCTCTATAGCATTGGTTACGTTATTAACTGCATCTAATTTTTTAATAGCCTCCACTTTAGAAGAACATAAAATGTCAAGAACTTCTGGACTGCACAGCATCGAGGGTTTATACAATCAAAGGATTTTTCCTTAGGACTTAGGTCCTCTTTCTTGAACAGGTAATTGTCTTCTTTATCATTTCTTACTTTACCGGCCACTAACTAACAGAAGACAAATATTTAAATTGTGGCACACCAAAAAATTACCTTAGGAGAAGAGTTATTGGATGTAAAGGATGTGCAAATAGAAACATTGGAAATTATGTAGATTCTCACATTTACGAACACGAATGCTCTTTCTTTTCTTTCCTTCATTCCCAGTTTCATTTGCTCTGTAGATTTAATAGCTCTCTTAATCTCGGAAAGATGCAATGTATGAACAGAGTATTCAACCTTTAGGGACTATTAAAGGCATGTATACCTAATACAAAGGCATCTCCATCTCCTGACAAGATATCACCATGCATAATAGCAAAGTAAGTGGAGAAATAACAGGGAAGAAATAAATTTCTGGCCGAACTCCCATGAGACAATCACATTTCGGCAAAGATCGTTCTGGTTTGTTGTTTCACCAGCAGTTTGTAAGATCCAGTCCAAGCAGAGCAGGACCCCTCCTGCAAGCTCCCCGAGGCAGAACAGACTTCAGCAATCGCCCTAGTTCTTAGGGATCCCTCTTACTCCTTGCCCACGAGTCCATGGAGGTCTACAAAGAGCTGAGAGCACCCTGGACACCCAGTTTGGCTGCACCAGCTGAAAACAGCCATCAGATCACCTAAACGTGGACCAAGGCCAACACAAAGAGTCCATCAGCTCCTCAACCAGCAGTGTGGAGCAGGTCCAACAGAGGACTTGCCTCAGAGGGCTTGGACTTCGTTACCTGTCAATAAGCTTCCAGGCCCAGAATAATCAGATGGAAATAGTATCAGTTACCACTGAATAAACACAGAGTGGGATAAATCAAAATGACACTCAACTTGTCCTGAAACAAAGTTGCTGAGGAGGAGAAGTGTAGAAAGGGTGTGTATATGGGTAGAAAGCGATGACCAGGGGAGAATTTTAAAGGGCTCTCCTTGTAGAAAGCTGCATGTGCAAGTTCAGGAAAAAAAATTGAAAGAAAAGATCCTCTTCTTGGTACCTGCTGCACCAGGGCCAGCAAAAATAGCCTCTGAGAATTGGCTTACACTCTGCTGTTTAGCTTCCTGAAGACATTAAATGCTGAATGAGACAAAGATCTGCTCTAGAGGGAACCAGCAGAGGAGCAGGAAGCACGGCTACGGACATGGGAGACCCCAACACCTCGCCAGCGGCTCCTGCACACTAGGCTGGGCCCAGAAGAATAGATCATTATACTTTGAAGTAAACAAACAAATGGGAAAAAAAAGAATGGAATACAAGTGGCTCAAAACCTATGCTTTTCGTTATTAGACATAGTCTATAGATAGTTTGTAAATGCTTTTTGGTAAAAGTGCTTAAGTATACTTTATCCTAACGTGCTGCATGTTTTCTACTTTAATTTCATGCCTAAATCGATAGCTAATTATAATTTGACAAGAAAAAGAGATTGCAATGGATATGATCTACCTGCTCTGCTGTTAAATTGTAATGTGGTTGGCTGGCTTTGCAGTGTTACCACAATTTGTCTATACCATTTCCAGAGTCACTGTAAGAACCAGGAAATAAATTTCTGGCGAATCATTTCAACACCATGCAGAATTGTCCCAGAAGCCCTTTGTCTGTGGCTGATGGAAGAGGGAAGGTTTTGATGTCTAATTGTTGACACTCTTTTGTCCAGGATTTAAACAGTTTGCATCTTGGATCTTACGACCCGACGCAAATAAGGGAAACTCTTTCCAGGACCATGGTCATTTAGGCAATGATTATTAAAGCAATGTATCCTTGAAGAATCTGAGAGTACAACTGCCATCACAAATAACATCCGTGTCCTTCTCTAGGCCTCTCACACAAACTCACATGCCCCCCACAAATACACATATATGAGAGAGGTTTTCTCCCCCACCCTGCAAACCTCTTAAGAAATGGACAACTGGATATGTAAAAAATTCTCTTCTTTCATTTTCGTGCTCACCAGTCATTAAAGGGTTACTTTTCAGAGCAGCACAAAAAAAGAAGAGCTGGTTGACCAAACATTTTTTTCTTACAAAGAAGTGTCAACCCTGAGCTTGTAATTAAGAAGTTAAAATCTGTGATTTATATATATTTATATATATAAAAATAGATGATCATACTAAGACTAAAAAAGTGAAAGAAATCTCCATGTCAGTACTATATATTTGTTTGTTCTGAAATTTTGTAGAAGAAATCCTTGTGACACTGAAATTAACTGATATGAAAGATGTAGGTAGGTGTGAAACACACTATTGATCCTGTTGCTGTTAGTCCGTTAGAGAATTGCCGTCTTGGTAGGATAATGAACATGGTAGCAGAAAGTCCTAATCAATGTCAGAACAGTGACAAAAGGAAAGAGATTATATCACAAGAGATTATTTTCTGTCCGAACCCTTGAGGGAAGATTTGTCAGGAGCGTTGTTTAGCATTACCACCACGGCTGATGGTGAGCTAAGTGGAAAACTGTGCCAATTGTATAACATGGATAAATACTAAAAGAAGCTAGGTGAAATCGTGCTACTACTCAATTTTTTACTGGGCATTAAGATTTAAATCCTAAACAACTGTAACATGATATTCTGAAGCTAGTGGAGTTACTATCATACTAAAAGATAAACTTATTTTTCAGCTTCTCTACCTTCATACCAATCTGATGTGGTTGGCAGATGGAGTGCATTCACCGTTGAGACATACTTTTGTGTTGGAAAAAAAATCCAGACTTCCTCCCTATAACAATGATCATTCTGATGACCTGAATCATCCTACAAAAGTTCCTAAAGGAAACCTGGCTGTCAGTGAGGAACGGTTGCATTTTTTTTGTTCCTTTCTTGTCTTTTTTTGTTGTTTTGTTGATAGTCTGTTGAAATGCAGCAGTCTTGAGTCAGGCCTGATTCAGAAAGAAAACTGTTTTCTTGGTTTCTTCCCCCCTCTTTTTTCTCGTTAGGGAAAAACACACACTGTAAGATCCTTTTTTACTTTTGCAGCATAAAAGGAAATGAAGCTCAGAAAGTCTCCTGTAATAAAGGTTTGAGAAAGAATTCTCTCAAGAGTGGATATCGTCTTCAGAGATATCTGAAAAAGCAGGAAGCAGTTCAGTCTGGCACCTGGTACTCTTTGGGAAAACAAAAAAGGGAAGCAGGTTGCAGTACTGCTCTCTTCTTGTAGAAAACTGCAAGTGTTTGTGGCATGGTCCATTGTCCAAGAGTATAAGAAAAGAAGAAAGTTGGCTGTTTCTCTAGCTAAAACACAGTTTCTCTGACCAGATCCAGGATTATCTCCACTGTCTCTGCAGTACAAGACTGATGAAGACGACGAGCAATGTCTGCAGTGACCAGCCAGGCTGTGTGGCTGAAGCTTCCACCTCCCTCCTGTCGGAGTCGACCGGTGGTGCTTCGGTGGTGATGAAATCAAACTCGGTGGGACAGATGTCATCCGTACAGCCACTTCCGCTGCCCGAGCCGCTGGTTTCATCACCTGGCACAAAGGAGCAAGGAAAACACCATGAAGGCCATGGGTTACAGTGTTCATCCCTTTTCTCTGTTCCCGTTCCACCCGGCACCCCGGTGGGGATGAACACCTTGGGAACGGGAAAGTGCTGGTGGTGCTAACTTTCATTCAGTAAAGCATCCAAATGAAAGCCACTGTGATTTAATTAGGTGCTTAAATGCTCTCCAGAAAAAGGAGTGGACTGCTGGCATTATGGAAAGCCCTCAGTGTCTTGATGCATTTGACATGAAGATAAGCAAGAGAAGCAAAAGAAACAAATATATAACTGGTATTTCACGGGACAGAAAAAGACTTCTTTTTTATGTTGTCAGCAGCACAAAGATCAAAGAAAGCCATTGCAATGGAACTGATTTATAAATGTGTTCCAAAAATATACTTATTTAATGACAGTTAATGGTTTCTTACTTGTATCCTGGAAGTTGACATCATTTCCATTATATGCATTCTTCAGTTTGTTAGTCATGACACGTAAGGCCATGATTTGTTGTCGAATAAAGGTGTCTGGCCTTGTGATGTCCACATCTACTTCTGGATTGTTGATCTGGTTGGTCAAGCCATCGTTCATAATCTCAGGCAGGTATCTATATAGGGATGAATGATTAGTTTAAAATGCAATAAGTTTCAGAAATCAAAGACTGTACAGTAAGTGCTGTGCTAAGCAATTTGGTACTGATAATGATTACACAGTTCTTAAACAGCTCCAGTGAAACCATTTTAAAAATATGGTTTTTAATTTTACAGACTCTAAAGGATCTTTTCAGTAGCTCAGCTGCATGGAGAGCAGAAAGAATTTAAGCTCTCCAACCTCCTAACTCTCCACATACTTCCCAGCAAGTGCACTGGCTCTGTGAACTATGGAAGAGGTTCACCAGCCAGCAGTAAGTCACTGCATGTTCAGATCCTCTAGTGATAGGAATGGTTGCACACTAAATTAAGCATCTAACAGTGCATTCTTCTGTTTTTATTTATTTCTGCTTAAAAAATATGAACTCCTTTGTTATATATAGCATATTTGTTGTTCTGAGATAGTTTAGAAGGCTATCTTGAGGCATTATGGCTCTCTTTGTTTAAGTAAACCCTTAATTTTCTTCTCTAGTTCTTCCTTGCCTCCCTTTTTTGACCACTGTGAACAACATCTCCAGCCTATCCAACATCCAGTCCCATAAACAGCGTTGTGAGTTTACCAGACTCCAGTATTCTCTTTGATTTGGTCCTTATTCCTTATAAACAGGCTATACTTGCATCTTCCATGTGCTTTGTGCATAACATATTTAAGGTATGGCATTTCCTATCCATCCACATATATGAATTTTTTGTTCAGGCTCTTAGCTTATAATTTCTTGATTACGGCAGCATTCCCTTCTCTGATCTTGGCAAATGCAATCTTAGGCTGCTCACAGGCAGCAAGTGTGCTTTTGCAGGTATCTCTCCCCTACAAAAATCAGCCCATGCCTCCAATCATCCTACGGTAAAAGTCTTCATCATCTCTTCACTTTGTTCCCTGCTGCTCTTTGTCCTCAGGAAACTCTCCTTATAGGCATCTGCAAAGCCACCTTTTTTGCTGCTTTGAATCTCTGTTAAAAATTATCTACGCATTTTACAGCTGCTAGGCTGATAAAGGGCTGACATTATTTCTCTGTGCTAGCATGGTATCCTGAGAAAATAGTTTATCACTGCTTCCCTGTCCTCTCTTGTCTGTCTTTATTTACCTACTATCTTTGCATCATATTTAGACTGCAAGGGATTTGGGGCAGATCTACCCTTTGTTCATGTTCTTTATAAGGATACGATCTATTTTGTAATTCGTCTGCATACCAGGCTATCCTACTGATGTTTGTGGGACTCCTCGTGTGGGTGTGTGCTCAGCTGGTAATGGTAGCACAGTGTAGCTTACTAATGGCAAACTTTCATGATGCCCGGTACCAAATATAGTTTAAGAGTATTTCACTCTCACTTGTGCCAGCCCGATTCCCTATCAATATTCAAATGTGGTGTTGGTGCCAGTGTTATGTTCATATTGGCCTGGAAAATAAATATATCCCCTAAAAATAAATGTGAAAGTGAGGGAGAAGAAAAGGCTTTCTCTGCTGAAGTCATGGTTAAGGGAAAATAAGTTTTGTATTGCTTCTGGAGGTCCACAAAATGATGACTGCTTTGCTGCACCAGGGAAGGGTTTAGTCTCATCGTAATAGGTCCTTGCTTTGCAAGATGAGACTCATTTGTCATCAGTGGCCTTTGAAAGCTTACATGAGAATAATCCTGGGGGAGTGTGAACATATAAGAACAAAACATGACTGCCAAAAATACCCAGCCTCAAACTGCATGTCCTGTTGTTTCACTAGTACCATAATGAGAAATAACTATGCTGTAGGGATCCCATCCAGACTCCTGTGGTACAGGCTTAACTACGGTGAGCATACAGAAGCACCCCCTCTAGTACGGAGGACTGCAGACTGCAGTGTTATGAATCACCAAAGATAGAAATTGGAAATAATTCTGCAGAGCTGCCTGGAGGAAGCAGGACAGAGACCTTGGCACGCAGGGAAGCTCTGGGCTGCAAAGGAACAGCACCTCCATCTGTCACACGTCTCTACAAATGAAATGGCTGCTGTAGATAAATTACTCAGCCCAGAAGTAAATCAGCGATTTCAAGGTGCAGTTGATTAAAAAAAGTAAGAAGGTAAGAGTTGCCCTGCTGGCTCAGAGAGGATGTCCATCTTGCCCAGTGTCTTGTCCATGACAATGGCCATAGCTGTTAGCAGCTAGAGGTGATTTGAAATCACTGAGCGTTCATGTGGATTGCTTTCCTTGTTTATGAAGGGTTAGCTGCTCTTTATTGCAAGCCATCCATGAGAAGCTACGGCTAGCTCTGAACGGCAGTTCACAGGCTTTCTTTGACTGATTTATGTTTGATTTCATCTCGTCTTATCGGCAATAATAAAAGAAGAATGTACTGACTTCTTAGTGAGCTTTTTATATGGAGACGATATGAGTTAGATTGGAGATTTAAAGCAATTAGAGAGTGCTCTGGTGTGTTTTATCAAGGTTCATATTCTGCACTGTGATCAGCGTGGATCTGATGTCCTTCTGAAGACCATCTAACTTTAAACGAGCCAGCCCGTTCAGTCGCAGGAAGTGATTCAGTCAAACTGTCGCACAGCCTGCATTATCCCTGCATTATCTGCCTCAGGAGCTGGTCATCTCCAAAGCATTCCTGGCATGGAAGGGCTTAGTCTTTCAGGAGAACTGGGCCAGTGCACCTCACCTAGATGTGTAAGGGACCCATACTGGATGTGGGTCACAAGAAACCCATGACCTTATGGTTGCCTAAATGTTACGTAGATACTTAAATTCCCAGGCGAATGAGCCTCTTGGCATTTAGGGCATAAGAGCAAAAGAATTAGAGAGGCTGAAGATTCATCTTTAGGTTTATACAGATACCCAAACCTGTATGTCTAAATGCAAGTGTCTGCATATGAGCAGAGTCCCACTCTTGCCAGATCTAGTCAACACAAGATCTAGTCAAAACTACTCAGGAGTTTATTCGTCAGTGGAGCGGGGACAGCTGTTGGAGTCCCACATGCCTTTGGCTAAATGACTAGTTCATTAGATTTCATCTGCTGGGATTTAGTTGCACAGACAGACATCTGGTGCCATTTGAATGCTCTTGCTTATTCCTCCTCTTCTTACTAGTCCTGAAAAGTGTGGCTTTCTGCATCATACCTATAGGCTTGTGGGGGAGGTCTTGGACATCTGGGGCATCTAAAGTTATATCAGGTGTCTTTCTTTAGACAGCTGAATTGAGCTTTGAGTGCCACTTCAGCCTCCAGGACGTGTGCTGCTTGGTGTCCTGCTGTCACTCCAGTAGGGTTTGAATGTCCCATAGGTCCAGTGTCTTATTTGCCAGCTCCATGAAGGTGTCTTGACTATTTAGACCATCCCACGTAGCAGTAGATAAGCCTATTTAGGCAGTGGAAAACTGCCTCATTGACTACACTGACAGAATATTGGGGCTCTCTTCAGGAACCTTAACATTGGTGATTTTTAAAATGCTCAAGCAGTTCTAGTCCAGCCTCTGGCCCAGACAGGAGGTAGTGTCCTGTGTCATACTCACCTCAGACATGCCGGAGAGTCACAAATGACACTACTCTCACTTGGGTAACACAACTGACTCCTTATTGTCTCACCCACAGGCATCTATGTTAAGTGCATGAATTTACATGTCTGAATGTGAACCTGAATTCTGCCCTCATTACTGAACTAGTTCACCTGCTTCCTCAGGGGGGAAAAAAGTGCAGAAAAGCCTATATTGAATGTAAATATCTTTGAATTGTTTTCCTTTGTTTAAAGGACTGGTACAGATAGGGGAACACGCAGCCCAAGGTGTTTCGTGAGTGACAGCCTCTGAGAGGCAGCCCGGCACATGTTCTGACAAAAGCATTTTGATGTGTGTGGGGTAGGGTTAAGTCACACCGAATTGGAAGCCATGTCTTGGGACCACTTTTTGACAGAAGATTTGTTGCTGGCTGCGCAAAGTTGTTGAACACAGCTGCTTTTGCTGCAGTTCTGTAAGTGGAGACACCCCTGTGAATTTTAAGCTTTGCTGCTGCTTCTGCTCTCGTTAATGATCTCTTTGTAGGCCTGGCCATTACAAGAACTGTATGCCCATTATAAATGAAAAGAAGAGAAGTGCCAGCCTGAATCAGTGTCTGTTCTTTGCATCCTCCTAGCAAAAAAAAAAAAAAAAAAAAATCAGCTTTCTTAGCCCTTTGAGTATAGAGAAGCTGAACAATATTGTTTGTTTTCTGCTGTTTGCTCCTTGCTCAGCTATGTCAGAATTTTACTGTAATTTACATTGTTTTCTAAAATATTAATGCTTTCTGTTCCTCTTAGCCTTTCCACAGTTCTTGCTTGTCTCAGCAGACACAACAAAGATGTCTTTTGGCACATCATAGCCAAGTACCACAAAGCCTATTTAAAACCACTTTTTTTTTTTTTTTTTTTAATATCCAGTTGATGTTCCAGGGTGTCTGCTTCCTTTTCAAGTCTAAAAATGACTGATGAATCCTTCAGGTCATTTATATAAAGGCTGTAGCTATGAAAAAAACAAAACAAAACAAAACCAAAAAAAGGAGGAATCTTCTGGTTTTTAAGAGACATCTGCCTTAAAGGGCAGCATTCTCCATATTTTGCTGCTGCAGCAGCTGCTTACAGTACGACTGGAGCATCCCACCTAGGCAGTACTGGAGTTTTTCCAGGTGCACAGAATTGTAGGCAATAGAGTACAAAATACAGCACAGGCTTACTCAGGCTGGGCTGGGGGTAGGCAGTCACATCTGGTTCAGAAAGATAAGTGCAGTGGAAAATTGGCTTGTTTGGCTAACTAGATCACCTCATCTGATTTTGTTTGCTCGGGAGGTAATCCCCATAGGATATTTTCAGTTCATTTTTTTTCCTCCATCTTGGAGAACAGCTCGAGGAGATAGAAAGAGAGGAAGAAAATACCTCATCTGCCAGTTTGTTGGAAGGAAGAAGACGCAAAAATAAACTAGAGATGTCAATTAAGAATAGGCAGTTTTCACACTTCCCGAGAAGTGGTTTATTCACACTTTCACTAGTGGTGCTAAATGGTTATCTTTGCCTACCTCCAGGTAAAGGACATTCAACTCATTCTCATTGCAAGCCTTGCTGGTCAGCAATGAGCAGCTCTCCTGGGGCAGGGACTGATGTGGTAAGTCTTTCTTCCCACCTGAATTTCACCAGGAATTAAAGGCTCTCTGCTGGGGCAGTAGGCACTCCCATACATGTGGCAGAAGACAAAAATTTCAGGCCAGCTGAGACTCCATTCTGTGTTCGCTTTGGTGAAATACCTTGTAGTTTTTGGCTAGACATTGAACATTAGTGTTCATTTTTCCTTTTATGCCTTAACATGTCTCTATTTTTTTTCCTGTTTATAATTACTGTTTGTTTCATATATAATTCTATGTCTTCTTCATTGTACTTGGAGGAGTGATAGGTTCCTCATAGAAAGGAATGCAGGTCTCATCTCTTCCACAAATTACAGCTTTCCAGAGCTAAGACATATTAATAAGTCTATAGTCCTGATGAGCATGAGCACCAGAATGATAGTGCCTGAGCACAATCTCTCACATGGTTTGGTTGAAACAAGTTGGCTGAGTTGGTTGGAGCAATTCAAGGTTCTTCTCCTGACCACCGGAATGGTTGCAGATTTGGTTACTGTTCTCACTTCAGTAAAAGTCACTTATTCAAGGGCTAATACCTTGGATTTGGTTTAAGTCCTAAAGCCCAAATTCCACCATTCTTGGGAAAATTCCTTAATTTCTGGAGACCATCTATTAGTGAAGAGGTTATCAGCTGTTGTTAAGAATTTATCTGCATATAGAGAAGGAGCTAAATTTTTAAAGTTTGGTCTTGATGATGTTTTTTAGATCCTAAATATCCTAAAAAAATCTGTCTGCACATCTGGCAGAAGACATTAATTCTTTAAACATAAAATTCTGTTCAAGTTCTTTTGTGAATACAGATGTGATGGGGAAGTACTGCTGGGCATCTCTCTAAAAGGCACTTTGTCTGAAGTAGCTATTATTATTTTTTTTAATATGGATTTTTCAAAAAAAGAGGTTCACCCACCTAATAAATATTTTCCCATTTCCACAGCACTTGGTTTCTACCTGATGTGACCTGATTAAAACCATTCTTCGTACAGGATCAGCAACGAGCCAAGTGCACCCTTCCAGAACACCAAATGGATGATTCTGTTACCCCATGATTACGCGTGAATTGGCGACCTTCATTTGGCATCCTTGTGTCACTGTAAATTAATCATGGTAGCAAAGTGATATCTGGGGAGTGTAATAACCACAAGTGACCTTGGTGTAATGCCTCTCTCAGGAGAAAGCCTAGCTTTCATTTTCTGTGATCTCAGGTTTGTAACTCTTTTCCCCCGTAAAAGCAGCATCGAAAGGTGACGTGTAAAATGAAACATGAGGCATAATGTCTACCTGGCAATTCAAAGTTTCTAATTCTTTATACCATCACAGGCTCTGAGCAAAACCCAGCAACAATCTCCTTTCCCAACAGTAGCCAACACCCTGTTGTCTTCTTACTTGTAGTCTTAATGTCTAGGAAAACAGGAGGCAGCTAAATTTCCTTTTTTTTTTTTTTTTTATCATGGGCTGTTGTCTTATTCTCTGGAATTCAAAATGCAGCTCCTCATATAGCACAGGGGTGCTTATGACAGGTGCACAGTGAACACAGATAGATACATGCATATTCGCCAGATTTTACCACCCTTGCTCTTGTGAACTAGCGTTTGATACCAGATACTAATCAGTATGATCAAAGAAGCATTTATGTTTTTTTTCTTTATGCAGCAGTAAATGTCCTTGTTCACCAGCCAGGAGGTGATTTTGCATCTAAAGCTAGTTATTCTCAATAATATTTTCATAATATTTTCAATATTATTTCATATACAGGCCATGGCATTCTATGGTATCTCTCTGATTTATTACTCTTCTCTCCACCTGAAGCATTTATTGAATTCTCTTATTAAGACTATGACTATACATTTCTTCTGTGAATGGATATGAAATAGAAACTGGACAGAAGAGCAGTGGCTGGGCCTGCTGAAACTATATTTTCAGGTGATGCTTTGAAGCTGTGATTCCACATCCAGTGAAATGTCTGTGTTAAATTAATCAAGGAGATTATCAGCAGACGATAGCTTTTCTCAACGGCTCCAGAACGTTAATATCAGAAGGCATCATGGAAATAGCTAGGCTTCTCATAAGATAAATACTGCAAAAGGAGGGTGAAAAACTACATGCATAAAATGCACCTCCCAACAAATGTGGAAGTTGTGCTAGCTGAAAAGTATCAGCCAGACATGGTACAAACACTAGTGTTGGGCTTGGAAACCAGGAGGGTTATTAGCAGGTTTGACTGCTCTTTTGTAGGAGTAGCATACATGTCTTATTAATGCATGCATCCTGATGGTCTCAAAATGGGTTCAATGGGCTAGCAGCATTCCAAACAGCCCTCTGCTCTTGGCTGGAGAATGAATTCTTTGGAGCATTATGCAGTAAGCTAGGAAAAAGGGCGTGCGTTCAGTGCAAAACCGCCCCCTGTAAAGTGTGCTCCTTTAAAAAGTTATTAGATGATGGGGTAGGTGCCATCTATCTACGTATCTGTCCATCCACCCATCTATCCATGCAAAATGGCATTTAACAGGTTTGTGAGTTTTTCCTATGTTTTATTTTCACTGAGTTTTTATATTTTATGTGCTTGTCTCACTTTTTTTTTTGCCCCTTGTTTGTTGTTTTTGTTGTTATTGGCTCATTTTTGTATTCTGGCTTCATATGTATCATCAAGTAAAAGGAAAATTAAGATTCCAGTCCCTGAGTGCCAGAAAGTATCACTGCTGTCCGGAGTCAGTGCTCACCAGACGGTCAAACCTCCCCACTCCTCCTGTCTCCCCAAAAGCACAGCCTGCTGCTGGAGACCTGCAACCTGACTGCCCCTGGTGTGGTCCTTGAGCCAGTTCCTCTCTCTCTCAGCAGGGAGAATCAGATCCTCTCCTCTGTCAGCTGAGGAATCCACACTGGGACCTTTGGAGACACCTGCTCATCTGCCAGCTCCAGCCCTGCCACAGCCAGAGCCAAGCAAACTTCAGAATTAAAACTCACAGAAAACTCATCACAAACAAGGGCAGATGACCACAGTATCTCTGATGAAGTAACATAAGGTCAAGCCTTCTACACAAGATAAGTAGGAGTGTTACATTTATTCTCTGCTGCCTATTTTTCAGTTGTGGTTTTTTTGTTGTTTTGTTTTTTTTTTTTTTTTCCCAGCAAATAGCCCTAAGCTTTGCCAGCCAATAGCAAATAGAGCCAAAATTCCAATTTCTGGTTCATCCCAGTATGATATCCCAAGAGTGCAATTGCTTCACAAGCTGTCAGTCCCAACACAGGGATGCTAAATGGAGCTAAAGAGCTCTTTGAAATCTCAGTATAAATTATCCTTCTGGAGCTGAACATTTTCTATGTTCACATGCTGACACGCTGTGCACATTTACCCTGACTCACACTCCGGCTTTAATGGCACCTTGACAATAAGTAATCTCGGCTACAAGCTGTGTGTGGACAATTACTTGTTCTCCTCATCTCTGTTTCACTCTTACAAACAGTTTTGTGAAATACCCTCAGTTTCGCGATTGCTTCAGGCCAGATGGGGGTTTGGACCGAGTGCGGTGGAGAGGGGTCCACCTCACCTCGCCTTGGTGTGGCCGTTCCAGCAGTCCTCCTCGATTGACGGACCGGCTGTCACTCGCTCATCCTTGCAGATTGTGTAGGGTAATGTTGACCAGAACTTTTTAGAGAGCTTTAGCTTTTCTTTAATGTCTGTTACCTGATTAAGAGACAACGAGAGGGAAAACAGGTTAAAAACATCAGCCACTCTAACTATCATGTTAAATAATAGGCTATTTAATTCCATAATGGTGATGATGGTGAAAGTTAAAAGGGTTGAAGGTGCTAAAACTTAAATTCCTGTATTTACAGGCAAGGCACTCAGCATTTGGGTTCGGAGAGTACAAATAAACAAGTGTCACCTTTTTCCACAGGCAAGACATTAATAAAAACATGTTACAACTTGCTCTTTCTAGTCTCCATTTGTCTAAGGTTTTCTAAATATACATCTTTCTAAGAATTAATATGCCTCACAGTCTGCTGAATGTAAATTCAGTTAAACAGTGTACATCAGATAAAATGTCTCATCCACCAACTTGGTCATGTCTTAGATAAATATTATATTTAGAGCTACATGCACACGTTCTGAAAAAATGGTGCAGTGCTGAGCTGATGTTGAACTGATTTAAGATACGCAGGCTGAATACATTGCAATACATTTGGATCTGAGTAACAGTGAGAAGTTTGTGTGTATACATGCATGCAGAGACTATATCTATCTTTGCTGTTAGGTGTATATAAATATCTGTAGCTGGATACAGACTTCACATTCAAGAAATGTTGGGACAGTATCGGAACAGTTTCTTCATGTTCTGAACTCCTTGAACAATAATTTAATTTGGCATAATTCAGGCAGCAAGCAGGAACAAACCGAATTTCCAGCATCAACTTAATAAATAAATGCTCTGGCTAAAATGTTATCAGTTCTTGGTTTGCGTTTGGTATACTACAGTGGAAAAATCTACAAGAATAGATAGAAAACACAACAAAGGACAGACTACAAAGGATGAATAGTGCCACTGTTGTTCTTACCGAAACAGATGCATTTCACATTAAGTTGTAATAGGATTTAGGGGAGCTTGTTGAATAGCTTTCAAAGGAAATCACCGAGCTTTATTCTTTAAAAAAACCAAGAAATAAAAGCTCTCCATTCTTCCATTCAGTTTTGAGATTGGCTTTTAGGTTGTTGAGGTACAATATTGTACTTGGCTATTTATCTCTTTTATCTTTTGTTCTGAAGACACGATAGCTCTCCGAGCAAATGGCCCACGCTGCTTTGCCATGCTTAAACTCTGCAGAATGTCACTTTATAAGCCCGGAGATAGAAACAGCCAAGGATGTTATTTCAGAAGCACCGTCTGCATTTTCATCCGTAAGCAATAAGTAGGACAGTATTTGGCTGCATGGGTTGTTGACGATGTTTCTTGCCATGGTAGACACCTTATAAATCTCCTTCACACCCCCTGCCAAGCCCTAGTTGCTTTGTTTTCATATGAGATACTAGCAGCATTTGCAAGCCTTTAAAGTCTCAATAGGGGGGTCCTGTCAAGCCAAAAATTAAATTCCAGTTTACAGACCGTGGGCAAGCCTTCAGCAGAAGTGGGGATACTCTCAGGATGCCTGCCCTTTCTGATGGCTTTGGTCCATGGGACCCGGGTTGTTGGACAGACAGCAGCCCCTGTTCTTCCCCTTCCACCCATGCTGGGGGGTAAAAACCCCGATGTCCCTACTGGTACAGCTAACCAGCACAAGCAACTCAGTTAAACCGCCCAGTGTTCACGAAGAGGTGTGTAAACTCCTGTTAGGCCATGAGGCAGTAAATCAGATAGAGAAATCCTATAGAAAATGTAGGGAGGAAGGTTTATAGGGAGGAGGGCCCATTCACATAAGCTTGGGGAACACAAGAGTCAAAGTGACAGATTTTGTCCTTTATTTCTTCTGCCCGGATAACTATTTACACAAGCGACCTGATTGATATTGGTGGTGAGTAATTATTTTCAGAGCAGTAAATTCTTTGCTGTCTGGAAGTTATTTTAAGCTATTCAAAACTCAGATGTTTACAGTTATATTCAGATTTCTACCATAATCAAATTAGAGCTGGTGCTCTAGGACTCGAAGACTTCTGTTTTGAGCCACAAGTGAGTCAACACCCATTGGAAAGTGATTTCTCCCGCTGGCCCTTGTAAAGGCTGTAATTTGGAGTACAAACCATGTATTTTCATAGACGTCAGCAAAAGAACAGGGACAGGTTCTCACAGCTCACATGGTGCACACGCTCTCCAGATACTCCCTGAAAATCAAAATGAGGACTCCCATTCCCCAGTCACTTCTGAAGATATTAAATGTTTACATACTCTATGTGTACTGCATGTAGACAACAAATCATTAAATTTCCTAACAATAAAGATGTTTTTTATTGGTGTTACAGAAGTATGCATGGTAAAGTGAGATGGTCTTACTTTACCCAGGATTGCTGGTAAATGACAGCTAATTAAATCTCACAGGCATCCCCCTGAGGTGTCATTCCCATTTTAGAGCCTGGGGGGAAGGGAGACATTTACATGACTCACAAAAGCAGCAATAACAAAAATGACTAAAGCTTAAGGAAAGGTTATCATTTGCAGTCCTCTCTAGATGCCTCCAGTTCAGGTGCATTTTAACACTTTTTATCCCCCTCAGGTATTTCCCTTCATAGCTATCCCCCCCTTCCCATTGCATTATTTCTCCATCAAGCTTTAAACAACTTGTGGACTCAGCCTACGAAGCCTTGCTCTTTCTTGCTGTGTCACTGGACCTCTGTTAACCCTCTCAGCTTTTGGCAGTGGAGTTTACATATCTACCTAAAACAGTTCCTTGAACCTCATCCTGAAATTGTTTTTCTGGAAGTGCGGTATGGTTTCTGATGGCCCTGAAAGAGGAGTTACAAACACCAATTGATTCACCTCCTCTTTCAGGGAGTAGCCTGACAGCCACGTTCACTTCTGCATGATGAACATTCGGGCAGGCAACGAGTTTGGGGTACTTTTAATGTAACTTTAACTGCAGAATAGAATTAGGTGATGTCATGATATGTACAATTTTTGCCTGTGTGTTTTGGTGGCTTCAGTTCTGGGTTATCCTCAAGCATGACCACAGAAAGTCTCTTATTAGTCCCCATGGTTACGCACGTTCCTCCGTACATCGTTTTGATCACCACCAGCATTTAAGAAATATGTAACAGATGTAGAGTCCCTTGAAAACGAGATAAAAGCCACTAAGGATTCAGTTAACATTGCTTGCTTGTGATTTACGAAATCAGACTCCTGTATCCCCCTAGTGACCTGTGGCCTTATAAATGATTCCTTGGTATTTCCTATTCTTTGAATTAAAGATTAACTTTCAAGCTTGGTTAGACTTCTGTGGAAACATTTAAACACGAGATGTATGCAATTTTGATATTTTACATATTTCCTTTCCACTTTCTCTCGCAGAGATTTATTCGGATTAAGACAGCTGTATCTCTTTGGCTGTAGTTAGCCTGACTTTCCCTAGCTATCTTCCTGACGCAGCCCTGATATTATATTGAACTACTTTTTTTCAGCTACTTTGAAGGTACTAAATTTGTTTTGAATTTCAATACTTTCTCTCTCATAAGAAAAAGGATATAGCAAGAGCCACGCAGAGAGCTACATTTTTAATTTACTGGGGGATATGTAGAAATAGATATTAAAATAGCCTGGCCTTCATCTATGATTGCTAACAGAAGAAAGGCATTACTGTGTAGGTGAGAAAAGTTAAATATTTGCATCATTTCCAAAGAGAAATTCATATCCAGAGTTATGGAAATGGTATAGTTACATGCCCTACATTGAGAAATACTTACTCATTTCTTATTTCTGCCACTGAATTCTTATGTGACTGAGGCAGTCACGTATGTCATGCAATTCCTCAGCAGAACTTGGAACAGCACCCATGAGCTCAGTTCCAGTCCTACCAGCATGGGCTCAGTTATAAGCAGGTAAATAAAGCTGACCAACATTTCTGTCTTCTTTACTCACCTCTCACTCCAAAGTAACGAAGTGAGCTAAAAAGCAAGTCCATCATTTTAGCATGAATCAGACCTTAGCATTCCTTGTTTTAACTCAGGACATCTGGATAAAGACTCACTAGGATAATTCAAAAAAGCATTGAAAATGCCACGCAAAACTAAAAGTGGGATGACAACATTTTATAAGGCATGAAAGATCCCAGAAAGACACTTGTTTGTGAAGTGGGCAGTCAATTGCCCATGGAATCAACTTTGGTTTAGTTTCCGATGGAAATGCGCTTCTTTGGCAGTGGGATAATGTGCGCTCAGAAGCAATGGGGGCCAAAAAGGAAATTTTAAAGGTTGGGGCCCTCAAATAATTTTTAAAAAGTAAATTCCCTTTTTTCTTCCTCCTCCTCTGCCAAGTCGTCCCCCGGCAAGTCCATCTCATAGTCCTTCCAGATTTATCAACCCCACCAATATAATCCCTACTCTCACAGATAGAGGAATATCAGAAGATGCTAAAACAGTGTTCAAAGATGGTGGAATGCATTCAAAACTGACACAGGTTCAATGCAATAAATGAAATAAAATAATATGGAGTCTTGCTTGTGTTAAGAAGAACTGGTTCTCATTAACCTTCTTTTCTTCCTGATGTTTTTGCATTGCATTTTTTTCTTGTTTATTCTGCAATTTGGGAAGATTTTCCTTTTGAAATGCAAACAGAATATTCAGCCTGCCTTTCTGTCAATACCTTCTCCTTGGGGATGCTCAGAAACACCTCAATGCAAAGTCCCATTGAGATGTAAGTCTTTGTGCCCTGGAAAAATGTGCAAATGTTTCTGGCTGCTCACTGGATGTCGATTCTCTGGTGTACCAGGGTCCCACTCTGGATGACGTACTGCGGGTCGGTATGTGGCGGCGTAGCCACTTGGGAGATGTTTCAAGTGGATGTTTGTGACGAAGCGCTGCAATTTCAGGGACTTCAGGCCGGGTATGTAAAGTACATCCTACCCATGGGTCGCACTAACAGAACAGCTACAGACAGCGAGTAGGAAGAGGCCTGGGGTTCTGCCTTAGAGAACAGACATGAAAGTAGCCAGCACAAGCCACGTTCGTGTCTGTGTAGTTTCTTTAGTCACATACTCCTTTGC